AATCAACATTTTGACCTGTTGCACCGTGCTTTGTTTGTATTTGTTTTAACTTTTATGTATTACTTTTGTGTAAAATTAGATTGGCTGCGCAACAGCTTGACCAGCTGTTTAAGATGCATCAACAACAGAGCAATCACTCAGGCAATAAACTCTTTATAATCCACGCATTTCACGTGTGCAAATGTTATTCACTTTTGATGCTTTGTTTATACATTTTTTGATATTGCTCTGAAAAGCAAGTAGTATGTGCATACATATGTATATGTATGAACTATATAGGTAATGTACAGGGAGTTAGACAAGAAGATATTCTTCAAATGTCTTTTGTATGAGAACATATTTTGTAGTCAAAAAAGTCCTTTCGTATTTACAATCAAACTTCAATTTATATTTTTTTTTTTTTATATTTTTAATGAACTTTAATGAACCAAATGTGTAACATTTTGGTGGGCCACTTTTTGCTATTTTTCCGCTAGAGAAATTATTCTATCAGTGTAAAGCTTTACTGGTTTCTCTTCGAAAAACTGCGACAAGTAATTTTCACAGGCCTCTTTTGAAGCCAACTGTACTCCAACCAAGCTCTTCCAGTTTTTGCTAAGTCATCAAAGATGTAGGATGAAGCCCTTTTTGTTGAACAGTTGTGCCCGCTTTTTCGATTGCTTGCTTCAATCTCATCAGTTGTTGATAGTAAAATGTAGAGTCAATCGTTCGACTAGGATGGTGCAGCTCATAGTGGATGAGGCGTCAATACTGGCTCTGTGACCATTTCTTGAGCTTCACCACGCTTGGGCCATGGTTTTTTACGCACTTTATTTTCGTTTTTGATACACTTTTCATCCTCTGTTACCATTCGCTTCAGAAACGGTTCGATTTCATTTCGTTTCAGCTAAGAATCGAATAAGTTAATTCGGTCCATTCAATTTTTTTTAGAGATAATTCTTGTGGTACTCAAACATCGAGCTTCGTTTTGTAGTCAGTAAATGGTTCAAAACCGTTTGATGATGAATGTTTGTTGATTTTTTACATATGTGTTTTTTACATATGTGTTGATTTTAATATAAGGCAAGAAGTAACAAATTACAAATATCTTGGTCTCATGCTGGATTCTACTCTGCGGTGGAAGCAGAAAAGTCAAAGCTACGATGGTCCTTATGGTGTGCAATCGGCTTGCTGGTAAATGCGCACATGTCCGACGGTGTTTTTTTTTTTTGAAGTTTTGCTGCAACTCACATCGCTACACCTAGTCGCCAAATAACAACAGAAGGGTTTGGTAGAGGTAAAGTAATTTCTTCTCAACGCATGAACGACCTCAGTGGCGAACCACTGGCAGCACATTAGAAATAGCAGTTATCAAAAGGTTTAACTTCACTAGGAAGTTTAAACTCAGGCTACTGTTCGCCTTCTACACCGGCCATTGTAAGCTCAAGAAGCTCTTACTAAACATCGGGCTAGCTTCTTGTGCGAAACCTGCTAATTGACTGCATAGCAGTCTGGAGGCGCAGGATAAAGGCCCTTGTTAGGCCATGTTTCCAAATAGGGATCACATCGCCTCAATCTAAGATACCAAACTTGTATGATTTTAATCCCTTCACGGTTTCGTCGACTTATGAATGCTGAATTTTTACCTAACCTGTTTTAATATAAAGATTTGCAAACACCGGATATGCTTGCGGTTTTGATCTTTGAAAATTGAGAGAGTATAAAGTTCGCAAACAAACTATTAACTTTTGTAGATTTTCTTCAGACTACAGGACACTTACCTTCAAAGCAGATATGACAAAAAGCTTAAATTATTAATACTCTACATTACTATAAGCACCTTGAAGACTGCACCAAAAAAAAAAAAAAAATGTCTTCTTAATAAGCAGCTCATTATGATTTAAATACGCCAAACTAGCATACGACGCGATACAGAAGTTCAAAGTATTACGTCAAAGAGGACCTTAGATGCGGAATTCTGAAAATACATTTATACCATGAAAATGTCCATGTAAATGCCCTTTAGTATGTATGCCAATTTGGCATTCACTTTAGCAGCAAACGGGTAAAGGTTATAGTACGTAAATGCATGGCTACTATTTTCAGCCTCAAGCGGCAACAAACTACAAACCCGCAGTGTCTTATGTACTACGAGACCATGTACATAATTTACATATACCGTTATATGTGTATGTGTAATATAAGCGAAATTGATAATATAAGCGAAAAACAATCGAAACGAAGTGGCGAGAACCTTCAAAACAGCGGGGCAAAACTATTTGCGGGCCCACAACCGGTCTGGGAAATATTCAAATCCTATGCCACCAAATACGTTATACGAGTGCATATGACACTGTCAAATAGTTGTCATTCCGGTGGCAAGGAAATTTTTGTCGTCATACGTTAACTGCGCTAAGTTGGATCGAAAAAGGTAAATAAGGTCGACCGCAAGTCCTTCACAAGTGCATTGCATTCGGTAAGGCATGCAGGATGTGGCTACCAAAGGCGAAAATGTTGTGTGTCAGTGGAGTGTGTCGGTTGATAAACACATTCGGAGTAGCTGTTGTTGTCGATGACGTGCTGTGTTTTCATTGCTACAACTGTACCCTATGAAACGGCGAAGTGTTCCCACAACAAATGCAAAGCACTGAGTGCGCGTGCGTTGCGCAGGTGTGAGCGATATGAGCGCAGAGCAGAGTGATTTAGAGCGCAAAGGCACTATTTGAAGAACTTTAAAAAGTTGGAGGTTTCAGCTGATTCGCTGGGTAAAGCTTTTTTAGTTGCCTGAAGCATGTTGCAAATTAAAAATGGATTCGCTCAGTATATAGATGAAGATAAGCGAACTAATATTTTTTAGAATTTAAAAAATACAAACATTTAGAATCTAAAAAATGCAAAAAATATATGTTTTCCTAATTTTTAATTTTTTAAAATTGTAAAATATAAAATATTTATGTTTTTTACTGTTATTTGTTAAAATTCGATTTCGATTTTTTTGTTAAAAAAAAAAAGTATTATAGATTGATGTACTTGCATTCTACAAAAACTGTTTTTGCATATCTTAAGTGAATTTGAGGTAATGTTTGGAGACTTAAACCTATTTATTTTACGATGCTTCTTTATGGAAAGTCTCAGCGAGGTTTTAAGGAATTTACCTTACACCTAATTGTAGGCAATATTGGATGTGTCGAAATTTTTAGAAACCGAATATACAAAATACATGTTTTATAAATCCTCATCTAAAATGTAAAATAACGTTGCATCACTTTTCAAAAGTTTACAGGCGAAAAGAAATTATATTATAAAAATCATTAATAAAAAAGAAAATTTGGATTTTGGTTATAAAAAGGTTATATATTGGTTAGGTATATACCTGTACCCAAAAAATAAGGTGACATTTGAATGTATACTGCGCGCGTCGAAGGGTTTGGGGAATTCTTTTTTTTAAGTTGGTAGTGCTGTGAGTTACATTTATGTCAAATTTCATGTCAAAATATTCATTAGTGTTTGAGATACGTTTTGTGAGGTCCTAAAAGTGAGTTTTTCGTTTTTTGCGATGTCGAAATTTGTTGAGCAAAGAATTTGTATTAAATGATAATTTCGCCAAAAACTCAACATATCATATCGTTCCGCAACCACCGTATTCACCTGATCTGGCGCCGTGCGACTTCTGGCTGTTCACCAAGCTCAAAAGACCGCTCCGGGGACACTGCTTTTATGCGATATTCAAGCCGCAGCGAAGACGGATCTGAAGGCCATCCCGGAAAGTGACTACAACCAGTGTTTCGAAGATTGGAAAATCCGTTGGCATAATGTACTACATCTAGTGGGGATTATTTTGAAGGGGTTGAAATTGATTTGGAAGAATAAATAAAGAAGTTTCAAAATAAATACAATGTTACCTTATTTTTTGGTAATTTTTGGTGGTGAATCGTAGGCAATAAAAACTTAATTTCGGTTTCTTGATGATACGTTGTGCTCCATTTCTGCTGACGGTATAATATTTTTTAGCAGAAGATGTTAAGAAGTCTTTCTATGGTTAATGCTTACCTTTAAAATATTTGAATATTTGTTTTGGGCAAAGCATGGCAATTTTCTTTGAAATCAAATAAAGAGAGTTTTACCATTTTCAATATTCGTATTTATTGAGTTTTTGATCTCTTCTTGTTAGTATTCAGAATAGTTTGCTTCCTTATTTTACGGATATAAACAAAATGTGAGTGAGAAAATTTAGAAATGTTTACGCTTCTAATTCAAAAAAATTAAATAAAATTTTTTATACTTCAATAGATGAATTTTTCAAAGTCTAAAAGCAATAAAAATCCCATTTTTGAGTTATAACTGAATACGAATAGATTGTACATTATACAAAATTATCAAAATGCAAAAAGAAAAGCCATAAAAAGCAAAAAAAAAAAAAAAAAAAAAAAAAAAAAAAAAAAAAAAAAAAAAAAAAAAAAAAAAAAAAAAAGCAAATAAAAGAAAAAGGTTTTGAGTTATTAAAAATTAAAAAATGTTTTCGGAAAATGAAGGACGTTCTGATATAACAGAACCTGCTAAATTGGATTATTGTCAAATATCGAGTTCTTTTATACGATAAATCTTTCTTTTTAGCTATTCGTTGCCAACATGGGCAAGATTGAATCGCTGTTGCAGATATGAGATGCTCCTAAATGTATGCCTTGCAGTAAAGAGTGAATCGTTGTTACCAATATTGACTGCTCTTAAATGTAGGCCTTTCAGGAAAGAATAAATCGCTGGAATGCTCCTAAATGTATACCTTGCAGTAAAGAATGAATCCAAAGTTTGTTGTATTTTTCAGAAATATAGCATTTATTCAAATATAATGTGAAGTAGCCAAAATAAATGGTGTAATAATTATTTAAATTTACTTATACTAAAAATTTGTCTACGTTTTAATTATCTATAAATAATTAATTAAATATAATTTAAAATTATTTAGAATAATTGAATATACATCGATTTTTAAACTATTTGATAGTTGAATACTTTTCCTTGTAGTAATGGAAGAAATCTTTGAACTTTTCAGTGCTTTTTCAATAAAGTGTTTTTTTTTAGTTTTAATTTGATTTCATTTTCCGCTTTCTTTTAGAAAAAAATATGCAGTTTTGAATGGAAGAAATTTTGCAAAGTTTTACATTGAGTTCACTCAACAGACTACAGCACACCCACTAAGTGTTTGGTGTACATTTATATACAATATATTTTATGTTTTACATGCTTCATACATTTCAAATCTTGAGACTCGAGGCACTGCGATTTCCATTATTATGTCTTTGGTTTCATAAACCAAACCTTATTCCTTCGAGCTTATACTTAGGCGCTTACAAGTAACTACGGGTTAAACTAATCACATATGTACACTTAACGGTATAATTATTTCTGTTATGAGTTACAAGTCTTTTGCAGTTGTTATTTGGAAAAAAAGTTCGACTTCTCCAAAGCTACAAATCTCTACGAACTATGATACTTAGATAGTCAGCCTCTTTTTCGATACGTCTGTGTTTTTGTATACATAGTGTATATGTATGCATATTCTATGTACATAGTGCACACATTTGCATATACATAACTAATGCCAACCCAACGTTAGCCCACCTAATGCATTGCATATGGCGAGCAGACGGTGTAGCGCGGCACACGCGAGTAGAGGCCGGACATGCCCTTCATGTAGACATAATGCACTGGCGGCCGCAATATGCTCTGCTGCTTCTTATCCTTCTTCTTGCCGCTCGCGCTGTTGCTGCTTTTACCGCCACCACCGCCGCTGCTGCTGCTGCCACTGCTGCTGCTGCGACTGCCGCTGGACGATGCCGACGATGACGACGTATTCGGCAAGCTGTGCTTCTTGTGCTCATGCTTGGCATTCCTGGCATTCAGATGCCCGGCTGCGTCATCAGCTTCCTTCGGTTTGGCATCCTTGAAGCAGCGCAACGGTGTGCTGCTGCACGACAACGACCTCATCGACGTGCTGCTGGTGAAATGGTTCAACATGCGTGTCACCGACGAGGCAATCGACAGCCGACTAAGATGCAAACGTTTGTGTGTTGCTGGGTGTTCTTTTTGTTGTTGCTCATGCCGTTGCTGATGTGCTGGTGCTTCGTGTTTCAGACATTTACGTTTCTGCTTTTGTTCACAGCACTCCTCATGTGTGGAGCATTCATCATCGTCATCGCTGCTATTTGTATCGGTATTGTGACCGGAACTACAGCTATGCGCCACATTGTTATTAGTGTGGTTATTGTGCTGTTGCTGCTGCTGCTGCTGCTTATGGTACATATTAAGCGAGACAGACACTTCTTCTTCGCCATCTGCGTCACCGTCAGCATTGTAGATGTCCACCAAACAATCAACGTCGAACGAGCAGAAAGCTGGTGAACATGAGGAACCGCTGTACGCCGACGAGGAGAGTGTATTATGTGAGGCATGTTGCTGGTGATGTTTCTGGGTTTTCGGTTGTGTTGCGTAGTCGTTAAGATCACCGCAAGTGAGATCGATGCTGGAGCCGGTGAGGTGAAAGCCCGTATGTGAGCCGCGTTCATAACTAAGCGAGAACGAGTCTGTCGAAGAGCTGGGCAAATCGTCTTGACTGTTGTAGATGTAACGCTGCAATTGCTGTTGTGGTAAATGTCGCGGATTTTGCTGTAGAAAGTGGCAGCCTAAATGCTTGCCGATGCAATTGAGAAAACCGCGCGTTGTCTTTTGATCGCGTGTTAGTTTTGTTTTGGACATTTTGCTGTCGCTCGACGATGATGTGGATGAGTAGGAAACGGATTTGTGTCCGACATGCACGGGTGAGGCTGTTGTGTTTTTCGCAACGAACACCGATGAGTTAGATGTACTGCTGGAAGATGATGTTGTGGGTTTGTTGAATTTTTGCGGCGTTAAATTATCCATTTTGGGTTTGTTGGTGTACAGCTGGTGACACTTTGACTTGATTTTTTTGAGAATTCAACAGTTCTTTGTTTTTTATATATTTGTTATAGATTTCAACAGTTCTTTAGCTGTCTTAGTTAGAAACTTTGTTGTTAGCAAGAAAATCCTCAAACACTTTATTTCTTGTCCTTAAAAGTTATAGCGTATGTATTTTTTAATCCAAATACGCTTAGAGAGTTTTTTTTTTTTTTTTTTGTTTGGTTGACACTTGCACTTTTTTCCAAATTCTTGCTTTGATTTATTCTTTGGTAAACAAAGAATTCTTTTACAATTTCAAATATCAACGGTTTTGCTTTACACAAGTATATTCCGCAATTTGCACTGAGATATTTCAGCTTCGAAGCGCGACGAACATATGCCCGTTACCAGCAATGGGCAGCCTTTTTATACACCAGCCGCCTCAGGGACACGTTCGTGTTGGTCCTCATTGCCGCCACTTCGTTATGTTGGCCAACGGTTGGAGCGAAGCTTATTTGCGTCGTATGCAACCTTCGCTGCCAGCCTGCGAGCCACAGCCAATCGTAGCAATAACAACAATTACAACTACACTGCACACTATCGTATAGAAAGTTTCGAAGGCATTCAAGCTTCGTCTATGACAAGCAACGAGCATGTGCCGACGAGCTTTGAGACAAAGCAACAAGTGTTCGTGAACCTTGCGCTCATATACTCATATATGCTTTCCTCGTCGTATTGTTAGCCTTCATATGCGGAACTCTTAAGGATCATACGGCAGCATTTGGATTGCCACACGTACGCCGTGACACACATCACATGTTGGGCCACAACGCATTTGACACTTTGCGCAGCGTGTTCGCGCGTAACGTGCATTTTTCGAAATGTCAGCAGCCAGCGCGGCCGCACAGGGAAATGCTCACATTTTCCAAACAAATTCCGGTGGTGATGTTTGCGCGCTGTGCCACACATGCCGTCGTCAGCCGTGTAAGACGCGTGCTTTAGCCGATGCACCATGATGCAGCGGTGTTCCTGCATACGCTATCGGCGTTCTGTCAGCTTCCAGCAACGCTGGTGCATCTCTTTGACTTAACACGCGACTTGGCAGCAAAGCAGGCGTCTAACTTTGCAATTATGCGCTAACAAACGTTTATTACTCGGCAGCGTGACAGCGGCCATTGAATGGTGTGTGCGACGCTCACGCTCGACACTCACGCCCGTGAAGAAAGTGCGGTGTCGTGCGATTGTTTAGAGGTGTGCCAGCGTAGACAACGTGACTCTTGACGGCGCTATTGTTTTTCGTCAGACGAGCTTTGCCGGTGTACGGCCAAGTTAGTTTCACACCTTCACTTTGCTGCATTTCCGTTTGTTTTGATTGGCCGGTGCACGTGAGTTCGTGCGTCACTTAGGAATTTTTAGTATTTTAAAAACAATTGATGGGTAGGAGGTACTAAGTTTGGCGATTGGCATCAACTTTTCAAACTCGTATGGTAATTTCGTTATTTATTTTATTTTCTCTTTGTTTACATTGCACGATTTCTGACGTTGTTGCAGCCATATGATGCACAGCAAGTACACGTTCGGTGATGGCTCGACTGGCAACTGTTGCGGATACTAACGATTCCAATTGCTTAATGCCTATAGTTATTAGAAAACATATTTTTCAAAGAAGAAGAATATTTATTTTTCGAAAAAAAAAAATTTTTTTTAAATGCATTTTTTTGTAAAATATGCTCATAATTCGCTGTTTAGAGTACTGTCATATGACGGAACTACATTATTAATCCATTGTTCCAATATTTCGAAGCTACGCCGGAAAGTTATGGTACTTGTGCGGTGAGGCAGAGGTCGGTTTAGCCGACTTGGTTGTCGTCGCCGTGACGGCACCCGTCGATATGAAAGGGTTTTGCTTGTTTGTCATTCGTGTGAAGCGTATTTAACAATACTTCATTTTCTCTGAAATATGTGGTTGTGCCAAAAAGGTGGGCTTGCAGCTTCTTTCTGACTTTATTATGGAGAAAAAATCGACCAAATATCATCGTATTTTGATGAACATGTTTTAACAACGCGAACGTGTTAAAATTTGTGTGTGCGATTTTGAGGTGGTGATTATAGCTTGGTTACTCTGTGAAGACTGTTGCCAAAACAAGAAGGACTCGAGAATCTTTGGAAGTCACTCAAGCAGTCAGGGAAATACTTTCAAGTGTATAAGGCTTGTAAGTCAAACGATTTCCAGGGCTAGATTTTACGGGATTTCATTAATTTTAGGCACAAAGATGCACCGTGGTGTTATTAAACGTTTTCAATTTTATTAAATTTACTCAGACATTTGTCGATATATGTGGTATAAAGTTAGCCGGAATTTCGAAAATCTTTCTATTAAGTATATGGGGGCTAAAGAAATTATTGATCCGTTTCAACCCAGTTTTGAGATACTATTATTGGGAAAGACATATTTTAGAGATTGAGCGATATTTCCGATAAAAAAAAAAAACTCGCAATTGGAATTCTGATCCACATATTCGGTATTTGGGGCTTGAATAGTTTTGGTTTGATTTGAAATCCTGTCAATAGTGTCATTGGGTCATAAGGTGCCTTTAACTTTTAACAATAGCTTCGACTTTTAGTTGCCTATTCGGGCGAAATTTTATCACGATACTTTACTTGGCATTTGCTTTGCTTTTCGAAAAGAGAAAGAAGCAGAGGAAATTCACAATTCGGTTTCATGGGAAGTAGGCGTGGTTGTAGTCCGATTTCGTTTATTTTCGTACTGGAAAATAGGAATGTGAAAATAACATTATATATCAAATATGGTCGATATCGGTCGAGTAAGTCTTGAGATATTGCTTTTCGCCGAAATGTGGGCAGTACCACGCCCACGTCCATAAAGTCCCATGTGTAAATTTTATGTCTCTGGAGTATTTAAGTAGTTTTTAGTGGAATCGTTATGGGGAGTGAGCGGCGTTATTATCCGAGTTCATCCAATTTTGCAGTGCCGATTGCGATGATCAAGTGATTTGTCCTGAGCGAGTTTGGATATAGTTTTTTAAGTTTTTTAGGAGGTATGTTCAGGTGGCTCCAAGGAGGTGTTCAGGTCTCCACGCTCATTTAGGTAAAGAAACTATTACCATATAATCTGTAGCAACATGTTGCAAGAGTACAAAAATCATATATGAAACTTGGCCAACCAGTCCTTTTACGATTGCCGAGTACTGATGATGGAAATGTGTCTATGGTGGGATCAGAAGAGCGCGATGTATTATGTATTTTTTAAACCAAGTGAAATCATTAATGGGAAACACTTCTGATAACAATTTTTCTAATTGAAGCGAGCGATTGCTGAAAAACTTTCAGATTTTACGACCCGACACGAGTCAATAAATTTCTATCACGACCATGCCCGGCCTCTTGTTCGAGATCGGGTAAAAAATATTTTATCTCACTCGCCTTTTAGCCAGACTTTGCCAATTCTGACTACCATTTGTTTAGAAAGCCTGGATTACTGAAATACAGTTCCTATAAGAAAATGTTATCAAAAATTGAGTTGAATTGGCTTGGCTATCAAACCGGCGAAGTTCTATAATGCTCGTCCGATATCTTCAATTGATGAAAATAGAAAGTGAAAGAGGTATTGCTTTAGAATCGTTAGGCTAGTGTAAGAGAGATGCGACACCGTTCAAATGATTTTGGTAGATATTTACGGTATGAAACGCGTTCTTGCTCGACTCATCCCGATAAAGCTGAATTTTTTTTAAAAAGAGTACCTTAATTAGGTCTCTTTAGACAACATAATAATTGCCGATGAGATAAGGGTTTATGAGTTTGATATGCAAACAAGTCAACAATCATCGGAATGGAGGGAAAAATCGAGCCGAAACTAAAATAACCACTCATTATTCTCTTCGGTGTTCGTGTTTTGGTGCAACATGAGGATAAGAACATCCAAAAACATCGAAAACGGCCGGAACTGTGGAAGAACAATTAATCGATTTTACAAGATAATAGTGCAGCGTTATATTGAGCCACGATTTTGACCTAAATGAAAGCCAAAAACGCCATGAATACCACCGATCGGTGGGCGTATTCACCAAATTTAGCTCTTTAGCTTCGTGTGATTTCTTTCTGTTCCCTAAACTGAAATTGCCGCCCCATGGAACTCGTTTTCAGTCGATCGAAGAGATAAAATATTCTCTGAAGGAGCTGAAGGCCATTCCAAAAAGTACTTATGAAAAATGCTTCGAGAACTGGAAAAATTGTGGACTTAAGTATAGTCGTATTACATCTGGTGGGGATTACATTGAAGGCGACAAAATATACATTATATACCCTCCTGCGTCGATTTTTTGTTGCTATAAAATTGCCAAATTTATTTTAATTATTTTTGTAGTGTAAACCGAATCAAAATTGTGATCTGAAACGTCACTTTATTATTTCCTCTGGATTTAGCATACACTGCTGCTGATGATTCATGTAACGGCACATGTTCATATGTGTCCACAACGCACCTTTCAAGTGTGTGCATTTTCCCACCTAAACACTTTTCATTCGCCATTGACTTTAAATGAACCTTTTCGTGGGCGAACGTAATTCTTTATCTGTCAGAAACAGAAATGCCACTCGTGTTAGACAAACGTGTTAAGAAATCGTGTTCGCGTACACGTACATACATACATACATATGCTTTGTAATGACCCTGCATGGAAACGTCGAAACAGACAGGGCTGATACCAGCTAACTACCAGAACTTTCGGCAGTGCAATACGTTGTACAGAGTATAGTTGATTTACAATGTGTATGCAATAATATTCTCGTATATTATATTAATATGATCACCATGACGAGTCAAAAAAAGTAGAAACTCCGTACGCGTGCTATTTGCTATCACAGTTGGGTAGAAAATAGAAAAAAGTTGGACAGATGTGAATAGAACCACTGATATGTGACAACTCTTACCCTGTGGATCCCACTCCTGAATCGAGAATCCGGATGAAAATAATGTGTCTCATCTTGATGAAAATGGAATTTTTTCCTTTTGCAAATCGGGTCTTTGTTCACGAATTCTGTCCTTCAACTGGTCCAAAACGTTACAATAACATTCAGAATTAAATGTTTTACCATATGCTAGTAAAAATTTTTAGGCCAGTAGCAACGAACTAAAATTATGAATAAAGTGTCCTCAAGACATTTAATGTTAAATTTGTAGAAATCGAACTATAACTTTTCAAGGTCCCAGACCCCAAAAATATGGATTTCTGTGCACATGGCTGACTTTTTACCGGACATATTAGTCCATCTGTGAGATCTAATATCAAAGATCGGTGAGAATAGTTT